GCCGATGAGAGGTGATCTTCAAAACACCATGCGCTGGGCGGACGGATGCGGGAAATAGGATATGGTTTATCAGGTAGAGGGGTTACACCTCCTAGAGCGTAAGAGGGGGAAGGAAGAATGGGAGAAAGATGGAGAGAGGGAGGTGGAAATGGGGAGGGGGAGAGAGGAGGGGACAGGATGAAATTGGGAGAAGATGGAGGTAGCTATTGAAGTTGTGGTCGGCAGCAGCAGCAGCAGCAGCAGCAGCAGCAGCAGTAGCAGCAGTAGTAGTAGTAAGTGAATTGACTGGACAAACAGTAACAACAGCAAACCCCCATCGCTGACCGCCTTTGACCGGCTGCTTCCACCAAAACGGGACGCGTCGCGCGACTTTCGCTTTGCCTCTTCGAGACCCACCCCCCACCACAAAGGACTACTAGTCTTTATCCATCATTACTCCCCGTACAGCATACCCTGCCAGAAATCCAGTCTATATTCGAATTATTCTGGATACTTGATGTGCCAATTGTTTAGGGGCAGCTGCAGAAGCACTGTCTAATCATTCAACCCCTAAGCAAGCTCTGAAACGAGCCCCCTTGTCATGCCGACTACTGACGTGGCCAGGCTCACTACTGGATAAGTTCTGACTGCAGAATAAGCCTCATGCAGTCAAAGTTCTAGAGGGAGAGAGTCTTGTTTATACATTTCAGCTGGACTTCTATTCAACCCTGCTGCAGTCTGGCCGACCACATCCATTTAGCCAGTATATATGCAGATGAAAAGGCAAACGCTATCTATTTCATATCGAGATGTCGCTATGCAATGCACCTGTCACATTTACCATTCAATAAACATTACCCATTTGTATCATATATCCGCCACAAGAAAACGCCATAAGAAAATGAGGGGAAATCGATGCAGACTTTTCTTGAGAGTCAAGAAAAAAAAAAAAAAAAAAAAAAAAAAAAAAAGGGGAAAAAAAAAAAAAAAAAAAAAAAAAAAAAAAAAAAAGCGAAGAAGGCGACGAGCTCCGTTCCCGAAGCTGGACTGCTCACAGCTTAGGACTGAACTTGCTCATCGCGCGCAGCTTCTTGCCGTAGAAGAAGAAGAGGATGGGGATGGGGATCATGGCCAGGGTGATGAATCCGAGCAAGCTGGACGCCCAGTCCACGCCCAGTTTGTCGTACATCTGCGTGGCAAAGAGGGGGAACGCGCCACCCAGGCTGCTGCGGATGAGGGTGTTGGCCGCAATGGCCGAATTGGCGAACATCAAATACACGTCGATGATGTAGTTGAGACCCTGCATGAAGATGACCAGAATGCCCATGCCGATGGGGATGCCGGCGAAGACCTGGGCGACCCAGGAAGTGCTCGGGTGCGAGCTCCAGCCAAACCAGAACAGGCCGATGGGCAGGAGGACCGAGGCGATCATCATCGGCGGCAGTCGTTCTTCCGGGGTCACCCGCCCATGCTTGGCCAGCTTGCGGGCAAACCGGGTCTTGGTCTGCCAGACAATCAATACCACACCACAGACCACTCCGACCAGGATTCCCACAAAGGGGAGTCCAGCAAGACCTTCATTCGTCCAACCCCGTACGTCCTCGAAGGAGACAGGATAGGCCTCGAAGAACAGATACAGGATTCCGTACACCAGAGCCAGGTAGAGGGTGATCAGGAGCAAGATGGGCTCGAGAAACAGCATCATAACCGGCCGCAGAAGGTACTTGGTCGTGATGTCCTTCGCAGTCGGGCGGCTCTTGTCCAGCAGCGCATACAGTTCGGTATTTCCGGTCTCGTTGCGGAGACGGGCTGCTTTACGCTTCAAGATGACAGGCGCATAGGTTTCGGGGATGATGATGAAAGCCAGCAGTCCAAACGCCGCCGAGGCGATCAAGGTGATCCAAGCAGTCCATCGCCAGCCGAGGCTGGAATCAGTAAGGAAACCACCGACAATGGGTCCTGAGCAGTACAAGTCAGTCGGACGTCATAATCACTGCGTCTCAAAACGAAGAGGGACACCTACCAAGCGTGGGACCAGCGAAGGTAGCTGATGCGAACAGTGCAATGGCGATGGCACGGTCAACAGGATCCCAGAAATCGGCCAATGCGCCGCCGACGACCGCAAGGGGAGAGCAACCGAACAGTCCAATCAGGAATCGACAGACGAGGATAGTCTCAACGTTCTTGGCCACGGCGACGGGGATCTGGAAGATGGCGAAGAGGAGATAACCAGAGAACAGAGGGATGCGGCGCCCATAGAGCTCCGAGAGAGGAGACCACATCAGGGGACCGAGGGCGAATCCGAAGACCACCAGACTGGTTCCCAGGATCATGACCTCGCTCGAGACACCGAACTCCTCGGCCGTCACCACGGTGGCCGTCGAGAAGACACTGCTTGCGAAGGTGATCCACATGGTCATGCAAGCCATCGACATGGTGATGACCCATTTTCTCCAGTAGGGCAAGTTGTGGGGGTTTTCCGGATCGTTGGGCCCGTCAAACTCGACGAGGTTGGGGTCCCGTTGTCGCTCTTCGGCTTTCTCCAGCTGTTCTTCCGGGACGTTGACGTCCGAGTCTGATGCATTCCGTTCCAAGTCTTTGTCAAAAACGTTGTCCATCTCCTTTTCGTTCTCCCCGGTCGGAGCGATCGATTCAGATTTAAGGGTGGAGTCGGAGGATTGGGGGTCCTCCCGGCTGTGCTCGGGTTTCTCATCCCACGCTGGGGCACTGTTACTATGGGGGGCGCTCATGTTGCGCGAAGTGCGGTGTGCTTCTATCCTGACTCAGGGCTATGGAGGATGGATGGAGAGGGAAACCAAGCGGGTATAGTAGTTAATGATTCCTTGTTGATACCCAGGGCAGGTATAAACCAAGTCTATGATATCCAAACGAAAAGAGGAGAGGGGACCCTTGCCAGCCCCGGCTTGGGCTTCAACCATTGTTATATACAGAGTACAAGCCAAAAAAAAAAAAAGCAAGTAGAAAAAAAAAAAGGCAAAGTCGACAATCTTTGTCTCACGAAAAATCAAGTGGGCCTCTTCTTAGCCGCCAGCAGAGCACGAAAATCCCTGTTAGGCTCTCGGGGCGGGTCTCAGAACAGGTACGGTATGAATCATGGTGAACGAAAGCAAACAAACATTAGTCAAGGCCGGTCCACGGGGTTAATAACGCCCCACTGGGAATGGATCCATTGTTAACTCCGTGCTTAGGATATCCATACTCCGATGGACAGCTGGAGGCAGACATGGTGTGTACTCATCATCATGGAAGATGAGATTATGTTTCATCCTTCAGATGAACCTATCGTAGAGGCTACTCGGCACCGTGAAGAAAGAGGAACTTCAAGCATCCGTCTTACCCGAGATAATGCGATCAGTAAGCTGCATCATTGGACAAGCACACAGGAGGGATAGAATAAGTTGATTTTGATTGATAAGTAATCATCCATCCTATCTGGTCGTCTGACTCGTGGGAAAAACGCATGACTGGACTGGTTTGGTCACTTTTTCGCGCTTTCGGCAATTCCGAGCGCCGAGCCTGACCCACTTTAGACTAAAGGTTAATATTTTTTGACGGATTCAGGAAAGAGAGAGAGAGAGAGACCCGCTCTGTTCTTTTTCTGCTTCGACCTTATTCGAGAGCCTTCGCAAGAGTAACGTTACTCAGTCTTCGGGATGTTTATGACTATTGCCTAACTAGTTAGTTGACCTTACCTTAGTGACTACGGAGTAAAAGTACCTGGGTAACTGCAGTTACCCTTCAACACTTATCTCTCTAACCGACGGAGACCCATCAACCATCACATCTCAAGTGATATCATATTCCAGCGGCTACACCCTACATGGAACTATACTGTGTATATTGTCTGGGTACTCTACTCTACTCCCTCCTCAGTTCCCAATTCTTTCCAATTCCAGCTCCCTGTCAGATAACCCAAGGAGTAGTCAACCAATTGCAACCGCACCTGACCACCGGAACCAGGCCACGGTAGTTAATACCTTACTAAGTTAATTCAACTTACTGTAACTACTCGGCGGGTTATTCTTATCTCCGGTGACCTCTACAGCGGACTACCCAGTAGTTACACTGCATAAGACAGCTCTTCTTCCTCTCTCTCTCTCTCTCTCTCCGCTCTTTCCATCCTACCATCCCTCCTCAAACAAGTCTTAAGAAAGCATACACACTCCTGTCTACTCGTAATCCAGGGTAATCTCAGCACCCAAATATCTAATCCAACAGGAATTCAAATCGGTACTCGTTACGTACGGAATCCGAAGCATCCCACCACGGACTCCGAATCAATATACGTAGTGGGGGCCTGGAGACTTAGCCACGACCCAGTGCGAACTAAAATAGGGGGGGGAGGGGGGGGGGGAAGCCGTCGTGGTCAGTTCCATCGGTTCGAACTTCGAATGCCCTAACTTACAATATCTACGGAATACTTCCGGAGTCGATCCCATTCGAAGTAAGTCTAGACTCTATTCCGGTGGATATTTTACCCACCTTCCATCCACTGCACCCACGCAGGGCATTCTGTATGAGTATACTCTGTATAGTTGTGGTTGTGGTTTGAAGAGGAGTTTCTTTTGCCGATGGAAGGGTGAGAGAGATCCGCCAGGTGAATTAGCACAGTAGAAGAGGCGGAGAAGAGATGTGAAGATGTCTTTAACTGATTTATAATACATAGTATCTATCTACCTATCCACCTTACCTACCTACCTCTCTCAATTTCTCAATGTCTCGGGATATGATTGAGCTAGTCAGTCAGCCGCAAGAGTACCTACCAATACCTACCGGTAGTCAGTCACTGTGCCGGAAGAAAAGCTAGCAAACTAAACTCGGCAGAGCAAACCTATCACTCCATTAGTCATCGGCGCGGGCATCCGACATTAACGGAATAAGACAAGCGAACAATCCTTGCTGATAACGAGCAGACAGATTCATATCTTCTCGGTCAGCAGTCTACGGTAACTCTGCAAATCATTCCAACAGTGCATTCAGAGCCGGAGACGCCGCACCAACCGCCTCCGAGCCCTAGCTGAAGACTCATCCCCCCCTCCCCCAAGAGGCTCCGTAATCAAGGTGAAATTCCCGACCTGCACGCTGTCCTTGATTCTCGGCATCCCCATGCATGCGGCGGCTGGAGATCGGCGTTCAATCACACAGCAACTTCGGCAGGTGTCAGACAACAGCACGGCGGTGAGGCGGGTTTCACGTTTGGGCATGAGTCGTAGATCCTGCATTTTCGCGCTTCGACCTGTTATCACAGCGCATGCATCAGTCACAGACATTTAGTGGTCGGACGATATATTCAAGAACAAAATGCCACAACATGTAGGAGTGAAATGCATCTTCCCCCTGCCGGTCCTCGTCAGAAACAGCAGGCGATGAGGCCGGCAATGATCCGGATCAATTCGAAACTATATAATCGCTGAAACCTAACCATGCTAGATAAGAAACCATATAGCCCAAGCCATAACCTATCCTTACACCAACCACAGGGCATGCACCGGAATATCCAGATAGACTCCAAACGGGTTCCTGCCCGCGGATACAGTCATTCCTCTGTCACAACGAACGCCGAGATGATGATCCTCCCCCTGACATCGCAAAGATTGCTACCGAACGCCGGGAATGCTTAGTCGTGTAATCTTCAAGAACTATCTTCAAGCACATGACCGTGGGCGGCGTCTTTGCGCTGCCTCAGCGCATCAACAGCCTTCCCCACTTCGTCTTTGGCCGCTCCTTCCAGGGAAACTCTGGCATCAGCCTCAAGTACTTCGACATCTCCCACCCGTTCGTAGAGCATCCGAGAGATTGTCCGGTTGATATCTGTATATTCATCCTTCGATACGAGCTTCGAGCGATAAAAAGGTTTCAATTCGGAGCCCACGAGCTTCTGAATAGCCGATTTGACCGAGGATGATGGACCGGCCCGAGAGGGTGAGGTGTGGAGCGAGCGTAGGGCTGCCGGGCGCGCTGCAGCCCGAGGAATTCGACGGTTCCAGCGAGGAGGAGGGGTGTGACGGGGGAACTGGTCCTCCTGCCGATCTTTTTCTGAAGCGATCGGAGACACGTCCGGTGAAAATGGTGGAGATGATGGCTCTGCAGGCGAGCCTATTTGTAAAGGAGATATCGGTCTGCTTCGACCATGTGGCGGTGGCGTAGCGGATGACATGCGTGGAGAAGATTGATTCGAGGGGGCAGGCGAGATGGAAGGGGAGGCTGGACCGGGTGTGAAGTGATCGGTTGGGGCGATGGAAGAGTGGGCCGAAGCACCATGTGAACCGAGGCCATTGGATTTCGAAGATGACTCCACCTCTTTCAAAAGTGACTGGAGAAAGCTCGGCTCACCTGAGGGCTCAGCATTAATCCGAGCAGTGGCCTGTGCACTTGCAGCTCGGGACGACTCTCCATTCTGATGAGCAAGAGCGGCCAAATCCTCGGCTCTTCGAGTCCGGGGACGTTTGAGCTTGCGAGCCGGCTCAGAGGGCACCGGGGAGGGGGACATCGTAGGTTCCTTGCGTTTTCTAGCTGCACTGGGATCGTTCTCGATCTCTCGAGCACGCTCAAATGCATTCCACGCCCTCATTTCCTCCAGAGACTCGGGCTCAGGCGTAGGCTCGCGCGGTGCGCGGGGCCGCGATGGCCGAGGGGCTTCGATATCGAGCAAGGCCGCAGTGTCCCGAAAATGGTTGCTGCCACCCTGTCGTTCAGCAACTACAAGACGACGCTGCCACGCGCGAAACTCACGCTGATTGGCCTCATTCCGTCGTTGCTGCTGACGAGCACGCTCTAACGACATGTCATCATCGAAAGGAAAATCCAAATCAATGTTCAAGTTATTCCAGACATGCTGCCAGACTCGGGCCCAGTTGGCGGAGCCCGTCTGTCTTCTGTTGTGTTGCACGCGCTGCTGTGCTCTGGTGCGACGGTTCCGTCGATCCTGCGGTCGAGCAGCCTCCGGGGAGCGTCCGAGACGACGTTGGTCCTCACATCGTGCACAGTACCAGGGCCCACTTGGCACGTCATCGAGGCCAACACAGTAGGTATGAGAGGGTGCATCACAGCCATCACAGAGAAGAAGAAGGTCTTCATTGTCCGCATCCCCGCAAACGGGACAAGGACGAAAATCGATGACATCTTCATCGATATACTCGATAAACATCGAAGGGTCAACCTCGGCAGTTTGGGTCCGATCTTCTACGACATATGATGAGATCACGGGACCTGCAAGCGAAGAATATAGACCATTAGCCAAAAGCCACACGATGTGAGGGGTAGAAGCATATCCAGAGGCGTCAATGGAGTTCCGTAGGGGGGGGGTGGACGATAAGGACTTACCGCCGAGGCGATCACTTAGTTCGACTACATTGAAGCTCCGCCGGCAGATGGGACAGCTGTTGGCTCGTTCCACCCAAGGCTTGAGGCAGTTGTTATGCAAAATGTGCCCACAAGGTAGCAACTGGGCGATTTGACCAGGATCCTCATTGCCATCCACGCCATCAACCTTGATGGCGATGTCCGCCGACTTGTTCTCGGGGTCGAGGTCAAGTCTTGGCGCGGCCTCGGCGGCGACGGCAAGAGGATCGCTGGCGCTTTCGCCAAGGTCTCCTAAGCACACAATACAGGTGTCGGACATTAACAGAAGGGGAGATTTCAGAGGTGTCTGCAGAAACGCTGAGAGAAGGCATGAAGAACAAGTAAAAAAAGGAAATAGGAAAGAGTATTGGGAGTTGGAGCAGGAGAAGGGGAGGGGAGATGGAGAAGGTCAGGTCGAGTGATGTGGGGAGAAAGCAACCGGCCTTTTGAAGGTGGATCGCCAATTCGGTCTAACGCAAAGCAGGCTGGAGCCCAACGTGACCACTGCCTCCAGAGCCAATCACTCCCCGGAGAAAGCGGGAAACGCAGTCTTAGTCAGTCGTTGGGATGATGGCAGTCAGGGAAACCGTCCTGGCCCTTGCAGCGCCAGCAGGAGGAGAAGAAGGAGCAGTAGGAGCAGAAGCAGGAGCATTTAGTTAGCACCAGCACCAGCACCAGCATCGCCATGAGCAGGAAAGCACGTACAGTGAGCCCCAAGAGCTGAAACTGAAACTGATTTACCCCGACCTGGCAATCTACTGTCTGTCCTTTTTATAGATAGGTAGCCGTCGTCTATTCAAAAGCGTAGACCGCCTCTTCCTTTCACCCCCTCCTTCACTTGCGACCGACTCACTGATAACTTTGATCTAGTAATTGCCCCTCATCTGGGTCTAATCAAAGTAGCATTTCCAGGCAGCAAAAAGCACCAAGGGATTAGTAGTTGAGACAAAAAGGCTACGAGTAAGTTTATCCATGGCATGCAGATGCAGGTCGCTGGTGAGATCATCAGGCAAGGAGGGCAAATTCACCCACAAGAACAGTAACCGTCTGCAATGTGTCGGTCCAAGTATTCGACCAGAACACCATCGCCGATCGAGACAATTCTCCAAAGCTTAAGGCGCCTCACATGCGGGCCGCTAAGTTTCCGTCTGAAGGCATGATCACGAGTTCTCGCTCGACCCCCACTCGAAAATGTGAGGAACCAGCAATCATACGAGGGGACAATGCAGAGTTGGGCATAATGCGGAGGGTGTGACTCGAGAATTAAGTTGAAGCCATCAATGACTTGGTATCACCGATTCGCATATTTAGGAGATATCTAGCGGGGGGTAATCTTAAAATCGACAACGAGACCGGTGCTAACAACATCGGAGTAAACGACGTTTCGGACACGATAAGAGCGCTCATGGAAGTGTTTTCCAGATCTTAATTTGTCATTTTTTTATTTCAAACGTAAAGAAAAGGAAATCCCATCATCACATTTAAACCTCCGCGATTTCTCTGAGACGGCGGATGGTGGAGCGGGTGGCAGCGGCGGCGGGGGTCCTGTGTTACAGCACATAACATTGATCAGCAACCGTGTCACGTCTAGGGACCCTGCTGCAAAGGCTGGAAAGCCCAGTCTGATCGATCCAGAAGGTCCTCCAAGTCGACCACAGGATGGTAGGACAGGACTTACGAGACGGTGTAGGCACCACCGGCAACGGTCTTCTTGCAGCCCTTGCACTCCCAGATACCAACAGCCTGGCGCTTGACGGTGTTCTTTCCGCAGAAGGTGCAGATGTAACGGGCGTGCTGGGACACTTCCATCTTCTTCACCTGCTTACGCAGGGAGGCACCGTATCTATCATGATGCAATCGTCAATATTCGCTTGTTTCACAGATCGAGAAAATGTCGTTGTCATGTTTGCTCAAATCGTGCGGAGGGTTGATCGCGATCGAGGCTTCGTCGAAAAAATTTTGCGTGCTTCGGGGTGAGGGCGCGAGAGCCTACCTGGTACCATATTTACCGGTGATGCCGACCTCTGCAGGGTTCAGTCAGTCATTAATTCAAAGGTCAAATTCCGTATCTAACGGCCGCAATAATTCGAGGGTATACACATACTCTTAGTGCGCTTCGTCATCTTGGCTGGATCCGGCTGTTGAGGTCGAAGATGGATACAGTGCGGTAAGTCGAAATCGAGACGGAGTCTTTCTAGTCGGGAGTGGTTGTGGGCGGGCTCGCTTAGGGCTGCACCTAGTGTCACGTGAGCCGCATCATACCTCGACTGCCTTCAGCCACGAGACATCAAGTTTTACAAAAGGAATCTGTAGCGCTAAGTGCAGCGTATAGGCGGTACAATCGGATTGACTAATTCATTTTCTATATTCTCCCTTTTTGTCGTTTGTATGTTCTGATGGGCGCCATATGTGCGAGCATATTCTTCAAAGGGCCGTGATGACATAATTCATCCCCACTGGTGGCTTATTTAATATGGCATAGCATAACCATCATAACTCGCCATCAAAGTGCTGACACTCGGGCTCATTGATTATTCTGTGCAGAGTGCATGCACGCTATCCAGTCAGGAAGTAGAAGATCCTTAGTACAACCACCGGTACTATATTTTCCTCATCTCAAGGAGCCAGTCTTGTCACTGCAGCAATCACCACCTTCTGTAAGTTAGTAGCAGAACTGCCCGATGTGTATCACATGCATGGACCGTCTTTGGATGTCTCGATCCGGTTAGTCTAGAGCCACCGATGTATTTGGGGCTCAGACAACCTCAGGCAGGCCATCCCTAGTTGTTACTTACTAGTAGTAGGTATACATTCTCCATCGCAGCAACTTCATTGACATTTTCCAGTCTACAATTCAGTCAACTGCACACCAAAGGTATCATCAATCGTAATAGCCATCGCCATCGAGATGGAGCCACAGCGAGAGTACGACATCATTCTGCTTGGCCCCACCGGTTACACAGGACGCTTCTGTGCCCAGCACATCGTCAAGCATCTCCCTACCAACCTGAACTGGGCGGTGGGAGGACGCTCGCAGTCCAAGCTTGAGCAATCTGTAAAAGAGTTGAGGGACTTGAATCCTGATCGCAAAGACCCTGGTACTGTCTTGGCCACATGCTGCGTCTGTGCTTAATATATTATTAACAAAGTCGGAGTAGATATCCTTACTGTGCAGCTCAATAGAGAAGAGCTCGACCCGCTGGTCCGCAAGACGAAGGTCATCATCAACTGCGTGGGGCCGTACTGTTTGTACTCGACGCCCGTGGTCGAAGCATGCGCTAGCAATGGGACACACTATGTCGATGCGTTAGTGGGTTGCTTGCCTCAGTCTGTCGCTCTACTGATGTGTGCCTGGTAATTAGCACTGGGGAAACCCCTTGGGTGAAGACGATTGTCGACAAGTACCATGAGACAGCCAAGTCGAACGGCGCCGTGGTAAGTGATACCCTTGATGGGGCACCCCAGTTGATCTCTGTGTCTTGTATATCTAAATCATGCAACAACAGATTATCCCCTCCGTCGGCATAGAAAGCGCCCCAGCAGACATGCTAGCTTGGGCTCTGGTGAAACGAATCCGCGAAGACCTAGCCTGCGATACCAACGAGGTCATCTCCGCAATCCACGAGATGAAGTCTGCCCCCGCCTCCCCTTCTCTCCCCCACATCCACATACTCCCAAAACTAACCCTCCATCCCAGATCCTCCGGCGCAAGCGGTGGCACCCTAAGCACCGTCCTCACCGTCTTCGATACGCTCTCCCTATCCGACATTATCAAAACCGCCGATCCATTCTCGCTAGCCGCCACCAAGCCATCCCCTCACCAACAACCGCGCGAGCCCCTCCTCGCCCACCTTTCCGGTGTCCGGTACGTCCCCGACCTCGGCGCGCTGACGACCTCACCCTCCGGCCTTGCGGACGTCAACATCGTCCACCGCAGCAGCTCGCTCATGCCCGAGCTCTACGGCTCACGCTTCCACTTCCGGCAGTTCCTACGCGTGCGCAACGCGCTGGTGGGCGTGCTCTTCCACTACGCGTTTTTGGTCTGCATCTCGCTGCTGGTCCTCGCGCCGGTGCGCGCCCTCGTGCGCCGGCTGGTGTATACGCCCGGCACGGGCCCGACGGCTGAGGCGTCGGTGAATGATCTGGTCGAGTATCGGGCTGTGGCGACGGCGGATCAGTCCGGGAGGCCGAAGCGGGCGTTCGGGAAGCTGCGGTACCAGGGGGGCATGTATGAGTTTACGGGGTTGAGTCTGGCGGAGGCGGCGATGGTGATTCTGGAGAATGAGGAGAAGGTGAAGCGGGTGTCGCGCGGGGGGATCGTGACGACGGCGGTGCTGGGGGAGGAGTTGTTGGAGCGGTGGGAGAGGGTGGGGTGTCGGGTTGAGACGCAGGTGTTTGAGCATTAGCTTTCTTTCTTGGTTGGAACTTTTCCTGTCATGCTTATATTTAATATTGTATTGTAGTTCAAATCTGGTTATGCGCATATCCATCAACTCTGACATGACTTGACGTGACTTGACTTCGTATACCCCTCATATCATCCACTTTAAAACCTACACCAACAACAGCATGAAAAACAACCAGGGAATCAACGACAACACCGAACGAAACATACAACTCATCTACACCCAACCTCTTTTTACAACTTCGACACCCCGAACCGCCCAAACACCACCTCCTCCACCCACCACGCGATAATCGCATTCACCTCCTCGGGCCGCTGCCACAGCGCCCAGTGGCCCGTCCGCACCTGCTTGTAGGTCAGATGCGGGATCGTGCGGGTCATGCCGCCGCCCAGATTCGGGGGCAGGGCGGGATCCTTCAGGGCCTGGATGAACAGCAGCGGGGCGGTGAAACGTTGGTTTAGAATGGAGAGTTCGTCTTCGTAGTTGATGCGGCGGGTGCGGTACCAGTTCACTTCGTCCGCATTAGTTAAGCTTGTGCATGAAGCAAGCACCCGCATCAAAATGAGGATAGGGGCAAGAAAGGAAAGGGGAAAGCATACAAGGACCCCTAAGCCCATTCCTCGCATACTCCGTCGCATAATACTCCAGTTCCTAGCCCCAGACCATCAGCATCATCCAGGACAGGGCAGGAAGGGAAGGGAAAACATTACCTCCTCACTCAACAACCTCGACGCCCCCACCCTCTCCAATCGATCCCAAAGCACCCCGACCTCAGCATCAAACGCTGGCGCCGGCTCGTCGTCCACATCCGCATCACCACCACCACCACCCTCATCGGAAACAGAATCCCCTCCACCAACCGTCAGACCTCCATACAGCGCCGACAGGAACCTGGCGATCCGTTCCTTAGACTGCAGGGCACGCTCGAGCGCCCCGCTGCGGAACTGCAGCTGATACCCGAAGTGCGGGGCGATTTTGCGCGTGAATTCCTCCAGCGAGAGGAAGTGGCGCGTGGGCGGGCTGTAGGGGACGCAGACGGTGAAGACGTGCGTGACGAGGGTGGGGTGCCAGAGGGCGACGCGGTAGGCTAGGGCTGCGCCCCTTTGTTTGCTCGGTGATCAGCTTGGTGGTTGGTGGCAGGTGGCTGGATGGGATGGGGACGGGGACGGGGACTGCGCTACGTACCAGTCGTGGCCGCCTAGGATGATTTGCGGGGCGTCGAGCTGGGCGGCGAGTTCTTTGATGTCGTTGGCGCAGTTGCGGTGGGAGTAGAGGTGGATGTCTTCGGGAGCGTCCTGGGAGGAGGGTGTAAGTTGTTGATGTAGGTAACGTTTGGTTGGTGATGATGATGATACTGGTGGTGGTGGTGGTGGGGAAGTCATACTGTCTGGCCGTAGCCTAGACAATCGGGGGCCACGACTCTCAATCCCATGTTGATGAGCATGGGGATTTGGTAGCGCCATCCCATGGAGAGGTCAGGGAAGCCATGAAGCTGTTCGTCGTCAGGTCAGTTTCTGTTATCAGGTGCTTAGTAGTGTGTACTACTAAGGTGGATGCGCTCACGAGGAAGATGGTGGCGCGGTATCCTCCCGACTCCGGCTCGCTATACAAGTAGCCTGCAATATATGTTGTATCAGCCGGCGTCTGCCCCCTACTACTTCAATTGAAGCTTGAGATATGTAGCCCTGGTGTCGCCTGTTGCGGCCCAAAACAATAACACCAGCATGCATTTTAGGTCTTTGAGACAGTTCGCAAAGATTGTCACACATACTGTATGTCTTGCCATTGAGGTCGGCGGTGCGGCGCTCGACTCGTGTATCGCCGGTGACGTCGATCTTGTCCACCGCCATTTCGGAATTCACAACGAGTGTTTAATGTTTTGGGGTAGAACTACTGAGAGCGATAGTCAGAGAAACTAGAAAGACTCAGAAAGGGACTGCAGTGTAAAGGAAGAAGTTCCAACCCCAACCTGTCCATTTAATCTAAAAAATGGCACCTGATGGAGACTCCCCGCCAGCTGTTCATCACGTGAAAGTGAAGCTATATTTGATTTAAAGATGACAACGAGGCTGGGGAGGATAGTTGGCATGCAAGAGAAGATTACCCTCAGAGACTCCAGCTTCTTCCAGCGTATGTTTTCGTTGCAATGGCAGGACAGTCTCAGACTGAAGAGGGGTCAGTCGCCTATCGTTTGTATTCCATTGTTCTTCCTGCCGAAAATGCCTCGGTTACTGGCAGATGCAAGATTGAATGCACTGCGACTACGGAGTGCTTGCACATACATCCTCCATACATATGCGTGCATTCCATTATCCACCGGCTAGCTTTTGAGACATAAACGCTGCAGAAATGGCCACCATAGATTACATGAATGAATGAAAGCGCCCCATAGCTTCAAGTAGATCTCAGTAAATTACAGTATCCTCCTGGTCCTCGACCACCTCTCCGCCGTCGTCGTCGTGGGCCCGGTGCAAATCATCGTGGCTCTCACCCAAAGATCCAGTGCTATCATGTGCCGGCGTGGTCTCTTGTGGGGTCTGCTGTGCTTCCCCGTCGGGTTTCGAGCCTGCGTGTTCTGCATGTACGGGATTCTCCTCGGGTACACTCGTGGGTTCCTGGCCTTCTGGTTCTGGCACAGCTGTCGGCTCCTGGGCCTCATCCTGTGCGGCTTCCGGCTTCTGCTTCTCCTCTTCCTGGACCCGAGCTGCCCAGCGGGCGTCAAAGTCGGCCCTTTCTCGAGCAACAGTCTCCTCTGCCTCCTTGATCTGATCGTCTATGATACTCTCTTCCTCAGCCCGCAATTGCCATGGTTTGTAGTACTATAAGCACCCAGCGTTAGTCTTATTAGACGTAAACCCTCTTCTCTGTCCCCAAGGACAAGATAAGAGAACACACGAAGGAGAACATACCAAAACAGGCTCTGCCTTCGTCTTTAGAAACCCCGCCGTAGCCAAGATATTATCATGCCGAGTCCGCATCTGCAAGAGTCACTCCGCATTAGCACCAAGACCCAAACATTCTCAGCCCCACAAACCAGTAGCCACAGAGAGAAAACCTACCGCTTCCTCCTCATAAGCCCTCTGATACTTCTTCCGTCGCTCGACCCTCTCCTGCCACCTCTTCTTCTTCAATTCGCCGTACTCCTCATCCTGCAACTTGAGCTTATCCTGCTGCCGCTTCTCAATATCCGCCCGCCGCCGCTGAGCTGCCGTATTCGAGGAGCTCTGGGAGAGCGTCCCCAGCAGCGCGCCGAACAGCCGCTGACCGCGTTTGCGTTCCTCCTCCTTGCGGCCGGGCGCGGGGCGGCGCGGGGCACGTCTCGTCTCCTCCGGAGAGGGCGGGCGGTCCTGGGTTTGGTCTGATACGGGAGGCTGGTGGTGGTCGGTGTTTGCGTCTGCGTCTGGTTCGGGGAGTGGTTGGTGGTGGGAAGTCGAGGCGGAGGAGCTCAGTCGGCGACGTTTGCTGTCTGTTGCTCCTGCTGTTTCTGCTGCTGTCGTAGGCTCCTCTCCTGGCTCTGTGGCGGACGAGGACTGGCGGCGTTTGAGGCCAGCTGCTGTCGGGGCCGGGAGGTGGTCTTCTGGATCTGGCAGTGCTACTGCTGAAGCGAGGGTTCTGTGGGCCCGGTGATTCATTAGTTCCAACTTGTCGATGACTTTAAGACCATAGCATCATAGCCTATCATTACGAGCAGCGGTGGCTAGACAGGCGAGATCAGCGTGGAGACATACCCTTCTGCCATATCGGGTCCTCAGAAAATGACTGGCCGGGGAGTTTCGCAGGAGGTTTCGCAGGAAAAATGATAACACCAGAACTTTGAAGAAGGAGAGTGCAGCGTCTCGGAGAAGAAGATAGAAGGTAATCAAAGACCGCGCGCACGGTGACTAGACGATCCTCCCGACTGAGGCTAAGCATTCAAACACATCCACAGGGATTGCTTCTGAGAACTTTCGACAGTAGATTCACTCAGACATATTGCGCTGCTTGCTTCGGCGACGGGGCCGGGACTGGCCCGAGCACGGACCACGCTTCACCCGATCGGGAGGTGAGAGCCTGGAGCCGGGAGAAGCGCGGCGATTCTTCTTCCAGTTCCTTCTCCCGCCCTTTCACTCATCTTCCACCCTCAACTTCAACCAACCCCAAGCTCAATCAGCTGTCCACCTTGCTTGGAAATCAAGCGATATTGCGCCACCTCATCCATTATCCACCACTCAACCTATTCACATACTCGATATACGACCTTCCCACTTTTCTTCTCAAACTCAACTTCAACCTCAACCTCAACTTCAACCTCAAGCTCCAACTCCAATCTCAACCTAAACATACAAACCACACAAAATGTCTCGCCACCACCCCGATCTCGTCATGTGCCGCAAGCAACCCGGCATCTCCATCGGCCGCCTCTGCGACAAGTGCGACGGCAAGTGCCCCGTCTGCGACTCCTACGTGCGGCCCACCACCCTCGTCCGCATCTGCGACGAGTGCTCCTTCGGCAACTACCAGAACAAGTGCATCGTCTGCGGCGGCGAGGGCATCAGCGACGCCTTCTACTGTTTTGAATGCACCCGTCTCGAGAAGGACCGCGACGGGTGTCCGAAGATTATCAATCTGGGAAGTTCGCGGACGGATCTGTTTTACCAGAAAAAGAGTTTTCGAAATCATTGACCTTGATGATCCCCGTCTTTCGCCTCCGCTCGAAATCCCGGCTGTGGGTCTTTGCGGGGTCGGGGCTGGGGGAGGGTTTCGTTCCACTTCGCTGCTTCTGCTGATGGGCTGGTGGTGGTGTTGCCCGGGGGCGTTGGGGCGGGTTCTGGTTCGCTTTACGTGAAATTGGATCGGGTCTGCATGAGCGCCTCGACTCCGTGACTACAACTCGATTTATTACATGCGGAAGGAGGGACGCAATATACGCTGCTGGAAGCATTTCAGCTATAATTCAGAGGACGGGCGCTATATACTTTATCGATCTTATAGAGCAAGCAAGATGTACAAGAAATCAGACGTTGGGGAGTCAGTCCGCCTGGGAGATCATTTACCGGCCGGGACGTCTCGGTCTCGCAAAGCCGCGGCTGGGGCCTGTGTGCTGTGGAGGCTGGACCTCCTCCTGCAGTCTCTCGGCTGAGATCTCGTCCGGGGAGGACGCCTCGATCTGCGGATTCGATTGTCAGGACGCGCTCAATCTGGAGCAGGTTATCACTCACCTTCTTGGAGATCTTCAGCCCCTGCTCTTCAGCCATGGCAAGCGCGTGCATGCGGGAGCTGGCGTACAGCATGCGTTCGCGGATCGACGAACCCGACGGGCAGGTATAGATGAAGATGACGACCTCGGAGTCCGGGTAGTGATAGAAAGTGTACCGCGGCGCGTTATCGGGGATGTGCGACTGGACGGCGGTGGCATCAACACCGGACTCGGCGACTGCCACCTTGAAAGCTTCAGACTTGACCTCGATGGCCTGTTTCTAGTCGTTAGCATGCCAGAATCTCATCAATGAACCCAATAAACCCCCGTTCCCTAAGAATAACCCACCACACCATTTCCACAAACAATAAGAGAGAGAAAAAGAGAGACAACATACCAACTGCACCAATCCACCCATCTGCAACCCCCCCAGCGCCGCCTTAACCTCCTCATCGACATGCATCTGAATCCGCATCCCCGACGCGCCACCCCCGGTTCCCCCGGACGCAAACAAACTTCCTGCAGCCCTCTGAAATGTGCCCCCGATCCCAATATCCCGTCCCGGCGTCCCACTCCTCGCCTCCTCCTCCGCCCGTCTCACAGCCTCCAACTCCCGCTCCTTCTCCCCCATCAGCTCCTCCCTGGCGGCCCCACCCACCCCCCGGCCCGACGGATTCTTCTGCTCGGCCTCCCGCTCCCGCCACGCCTCCTCGCCCACCACCTCCTCCTCATCCGTCGCGAAGATCGTTGCGGCGAACTTCTCCGTGCCGAGCTCCCGGGCCAGCGTCGCGCGCGTCGCGGCGAAGAGTGTCTTGTGGCGCACCCCCGCGTTCGACGGGATGTAGGTTAGGGCCAGCAGTTCCCCAGTTCCAATCGTGGCGGGTCGGCGCAGGAGCAGGTAGATGGGGGTTTTGGGCTCGAGGATGCCGGCGAGTTGCGGGAGGGAGGCGTAGAAGTCGTTGCTGGGGCTGGTGAAGGCGAGGGGAGGGAGTGGGGTGAGGCGCTCGGATTGGATGGTCACGGGCAGGCAGAATTGGGTGGGGGTGGTGGTGAAGGTTGTGAAGGCTGTTTGCAGTTCGGGGGAGACTGTTTTTGTTTGGTGTGTCAGTTTGTGAGTTAGGGATCGTTGGGGTGGGTTTGGGGTGTATGATGGTGAGTTTAATGGGATATGTGGTTGATGTCGTAAATCCTTGGGGGGCCTTAGGGGAATAGAAGGGAAGGGAGGGAAGGGGACAGGTGGATGGGAGTGGATTGCTGCTGCAGTGCTTGATCAGACGTACCTGAGATTCCGGACTGCATCTTGCAAGTAGTGAACACCAGACGGTGTGTTCCTCTGATGCGGTCGGGGTGGTTCTGGTTGCTGCAGTTGATGGGGGAAGGGGAGACGAATGTTTACTGCGGAGCGGAACGGAGAGGGGGAGAGAGAGGGGGAAGAGGCTGAGCGGTGTGTTGCTAGTGGGGTTCAAGAGACAAGACTAAATCAGGGCAGCGGATCTCTCTCAAGTCAACTGTACAATACTACTACGTACCCTCATTTTCTGCTCTACTTCAATCAATCTGGCAAGAAATATGATGATGATTTTCGATTCTACCCATCTCAAAGGTATACTTAGATATACAAAGGAGATTGACCGGACCACAAAAAACATGATACTATGTACAATCCTACCAAGCGCGAAAACTTGGCTGTCCAGGCCACCCAAACATGATACTATAAACAGGAATCTCAATCCAAGAAACAGCAGTGATCGAAAACGCCACCATGCTCAATGGTATCAAATGCTTTCGAAAACACATGGCGGCTCACTTTCTCGTCTCCAAAACACTTTCCTTTCCTCTCCCCCCTTTTACTCCTCAAAAGTGCCGCCAACGAAGCTCCAACGGGACTGCTCGAGCTTGCCCTTCAGGAACTCATACACGGTGAAGGTGACGGCCTGACCCGGGGCGACTCTCATCACACGGGGCGTGATACCCTTGTAGAAGGCCGCAGCCCCCTCCTGCTTGAACATGTCCTTGGCGATCACCATGATGCGGGTCACGGCGGACTGGCCGGGCTCGGCACGGGTCTTCTGCAGTCGCGTCTTGATGGTGTCAATGGGGGCGTTGGAGAAGGGTCCGACCGCACCGGAGATCAGTCCGATGAAGGTCGTCTGGTAGGAAGGCAGCTGCGAGTTGGCGTACTCGGGCTGGCTCCTCTGGAGGAAGGCCTTCAGCTCGGTATATGCGGTGAAGTTGGCTGCCTGGTTCGTTCCCTGGCGCAGGGCGGTTAACGAGACACCCCGGTACAGGGCGCCGAAGCCTTCCTCCCGGATGACGGTGAACAGGGCGTGCGGCGCGCTGCGGTACTTGGGGGTGTCCAGGGGATCCGACAGACTGTGGTGTTGTGCTTGCAGGCGGATCTTGATGACTTCCATAGGGTTGACCACCGCCACGGCTTCCGTTACACCCGCGCAGAGACCAGCTGTGACAGACGAAAAAATGAGTGAGGGCTCTTTCGGACCTGTGGTGGGCTGGGCCTCAACGTACCGAGAAAAGTGGCCTTGCTGGTCACGGCTCCAGTCTCCTTATCGGCCAGCCATTGCTTGTACGTTTCGTAGGAAGTGAACCGGATGGCCATCTTCGGGATGATGCCTCCCAGGACGGCCCCGAGACCCTTGTACAAACCCAACGCGGTTTCTCTTTTGACGATTTCGGCACCCGTGGCAACGAATCCGCGCGGTTTTACCTGGTCCAAGTGTTAGCGCTGTCGCGCCTTCGCTCGCGCGGGTGATCGACTTACACCAGGGGCCCTGGCCCGACGCGACAACTGCATGCGGACTTTGACGGTGTCTGCATGAAACGGTCAGTGAAACCATTCTGCTTTTCCTGGTAATTCGAGTCCCTTACCCAGAGGATGGCACACGAGGGCCTCCATCATACCCGCACCACCACCAGCTGTCGCAAGTTAGCATTGCGCGGGAGCGGTTGCGCCGGGAAGAGCCAGAGCTTCGTACCGATCAGGTTGACAGCCGGCGACGCCGGCTTCCTGCCGTTGCCTCCTTTCGCAGACATGATGAAAGAATGTGTTTGTTTTCGTTTTTTTCCAAAGAATCAACGGAAGTCCTGATCAATTGAGCTCGGGACTACACCGGGTAGAGCAAGAGCAATCAATGCGATGCGATTGTCGGATTTAAAGGGCAAAGACGGAAGAGGCTGTCCTGAGAGAACTCCACGGATAAAGAAGAAAAGCAAGGAAGGAGAAAGGAAACAAGAGGGGAAAAAAAAAGGAAGAGAATGGTAAACCCTCGTCTGAAGCCAGGGAATGTATTTCTTTTTTTATTAATGGGTGAAGGATTGACGGATCGGTGGTTCACACGCGGTGCGCTGGAACGGGGAGATACGGAAGTATAGCGACTACGTTTCCCTCGGCTCGACCAAGCCCAGGTATTTAAAATCGGCGATTGAAGAGGTCACTGGGTCTGGGGGTGTAGCGGGCCAGGAGAGCCAAGTGACCGGTGGTTCCCCAATAATAATAGAGACTCAGTCGGAAACGAGGATCTCTACTTTGGGAGGGATGAGTTTAGCCCTGAGACTGAGAGATTGCCGGGCGGGCGTGGAGAAGCTATGACGGGGAAGCGGAGGAAGCTTCGCTGGACGAGCGGAACTGCGGATGAGCTGCCGCTTGCATCAACCGAGAGATGGTGGAAGATGGATGATGAATACGGAGTGATCCATAAAGGTAGAGGGGGGAACAAAAGGATCATTTATACACTGGATGCTTTGTCCACGTCCATTGAGGCACCCGATCAGCTGTACTAGTAGTAGAGGATACTGCAGTCTATATAGTTAAAGTATATACTTACAACATCACTCCTCATGCCTCATGTCGCCTACTCACGATCAGCCGTGCTTTCGTTCTTCCGAGGCTTCGGGACAAGTACTGTACCAAACCCCTTCTCTGGCTGTCACTGCGGGCAAGTCTGGCATAGGTCCCTCCCTGTACCCGACCAATCCACCTCCGAATGGCAGAGACGGAACCACACACACACACACACTGCACCAGGCAAAACCCCCCTTCACATGCTGGATCTTGTCGTCATCTGCGAATTGTGAACAGCATCATCACCATCATCCTCCGCATGGAGAGTTTGAGGGCTTGTGACTGTGGACTGTGGACTGTGGACTGTGGCTCTTGGGAACTTTGTCTAGCATATTTAGTCAGATCCATTCTGACACCCAGATGTACTCCGTAGTTACTGTATACTCCGTACTGTGTGTTAGTTAGTCACGGGTATTCCCGGGCCCAGACTGGAGAGATCCAAATGCTGCCGAGGTCTTTCCCTTATCCCTCCCTCTACCCTCTCTCCATTTTTGAGGGGAAATTTTTCCATCTTCCCCGGAGTAATCTGCGCCGGTCACTGGAAAGGCTGAATAGAGGGGATTTTTTTTCTCTGGAGTGTAGTGTAAAAGATCTTGTGACCACCGGAGTTGGCCCTTTGCTCCGATTTTCGCTGCTCAAAAGTACAAGTACTCCGTAGAAGGGGGGGGGGTTGTGTTTGTGCAAAGGGCTTACCCCACGGTTCAGGTTTTATCCATGTCTACTGACCGTTTTTCCCTGGAGCATTCTTTCGATTTGCAATACAACTTTCCGGGAAATGTTTTGCAAGGGGTGTGTTCTCATATAGAGTTGGTTTGAGTCCCTGTCCATCAGCCATGGGGCGAGTGGTCAATGATTCAGTGTTAGTAGTTGGGCACTGGGACTCCGTATGGATTCTGCATCACTTGCTGTCCGGGGGCTCGGAGATCTTCACATGCTGGGGTTACACCATCTGAGGCTGGATCATCGTTGCAGGAGAGACATAACCTCCGAAAATCTAAAGATGCTTGTGGCTGCCGGTGCCCTGAGTCTGAGTCCGAGTCCGAGTCTGCACTATCTTATCATTGTGCCTGTGGAGAGGAAGAATGCGTGTGGTCACGTGCAGGGGAGACGGTAGAAGGTTGCCCCGATATGGTCGAGCAGGGTATGGAGTACACAACAAACTGATATTGGACTATAATGTAGGTAGTGATGAATGCAAGGTCTTGCCCTGTTGGTCTCTGGGAATATATAGCGCAGACGCATAACCACGTCTGCACTTATGCTCATACACCAGAATGACCAACAGCAAAGCAGCAGCGCCGGGCCCCGATAATCATGGCAAATCTTTCAGCCTATTAGTTTATCATTTCGGCCCTACATCTTGACTCCGATCGACCAACACAAAAATCATCCACCATGCAAGCATAATGGCAGATTTTAACTGTGTACCACAACCTTAAAGAGCAGTGGACGCGAAGCTTGCTTCTCTGTGCCAGTCTCATCCAACCCAGTTGAACCATGAGTGTGGCCGCGCAGACTTCAACACCACCACCACCACCACCACCACCATGGTATCGGCGCGGCGCAAGTTACACTCTCAAGAAGACCGCCCTCTTCATCCTACGCCAATGGCTCCTCATCGGGATCGGCGTCGTCTGCGTACTGGCATACTACTTCCCCAACGTCGCGAAGAACGGCGGCATTATCCGCTCCGAGTACAGCATCCTGTACGGGGCGATGGCGCTGATCTTCCTGATCTCGGGCCTCAGCGTGCCCCGCGAGAAGCTCTTCCGTCACCTGCTCAACTGGCGCCTGCACGTGCTGGTGCAGGTCTCCTCGTTCCTGTTCATACCCGCGCTGATGCTGGCGCTCGTGCATATTATCTTGGCGGGCGACCCGCACCAGCACATCGACCGCGCCGTGCTGGCCGGCTACATCTTCCTGGCCTGCATTCCTACGACCATCGCCTCGAACGTGGTGATGACCCGGTCGGCGGGCGGGGATGACGCCGCCGCGCTCGTCGAGGTCATCATCGCGAACTTCCTGGGCCCGTTTATCACCGCCGGCTGGACTATCACCCTCCTCCCTGCGGATCCGGCGTTCGATCCCTGGCGTGCCGGGGACGGCAACCTGGGGGATATGTACCGCGATGTGTTCAAGCAGCTCGGGCTGGCGGTGTTGTTGCCGCTGGTCGTGGGGCAGCTGGTTCGCTGGACTTGGCCTGATCGGACGGCTTGGGTGCTGCAGACGTGTAAGTTGGCGAAGTTGAGTACCGCTTGTTTGCTGTTGTTGTTGTGGTGTGTCTCCCTCCCCAAACCCCCCTCCCAGCTCTGTCGACACGGACTGACTGACTGAAACAAACGAAAAGGTCAACATTCAGCTCCTGCTTCGCAACCAACGCCCTTCAAACCATGAGCACTCAAAACATCATCTTCGTCGTCCTCTTCAACATCGCCCTCTACGTCTTTTTGACAGGGGCCTGCTTCCTCATCTCCCGACCCCCGACCTGCCTGTCCAGGATAGAAATCCCAATCCCAATTCCAGTTTCAGCCCCGTTGGCCGCCTGGCTATCCCGGAAAACCACAATCCAGCAACCCCACCCAAAGGAAACCCCCAGAAGCAACCTGGTCACGTTCAAAATGGTAAGGGTCACCCCCTTCCGCCCCCTCCCGCCCAAAGAAGCCATCGCCGTGTGCTTCTGCGGGCCGGCGAAGAGTACCGCGCTGGGGATTCCCTTGCTGTATGCCATGTGGGGGTCGTTGGAGCTGTATCTCAAGGCCAAGACCTCGGTGCCGGTGTTGTTGTTCACCACGGAGCAGATATGCGTGGCGCAACTCTTTGTGCATTTGTTGGGGTGGTGGAGGCGGAGGGTTGAGCGGGAAGAGGATTGTGAGGGGGGTGGGATAGGGAATGGGAGTGGGAGTCGGGGTGGTGATGTTGGTGGTGATTGTGATTGTGGTTGTGGTTCTTCTGCCGCGGAGGCTGTGGATGTGGTGGTGGGAGAAGAAGGAGGAGGAGTCGTGGAGGCTTCAAAGCATGCTTAACCGACCCAACCACACTGCCTGAAACCATGGGTAGATCCATAGATCGTATATACAAGAACAACGTGATTGCATATAGCACAAGTCGATATCGTCGATATCAACGTCTGTCTGGATTAAATACATCAGATATAGCTCACTTTCACCCCCATCCCAATAGTCCCCTTGACCTTCTGCCACCCCGCCCCAGTGATCCTCCGGACGCGCTCGCGGATATCCTGCCTGCTCAGCGCAAACAAGATCCCCAGCAGAAACAGAATCGTCCGCGCCACGGAGAGCGAATTGCCCGCGATGCTCTTCGCTATAAACCGCATCAGATTGCGCACCACGTTCGTCAACGCCTGCGACCGCTTGGCGCGCGCCTCAGCCGGCTTGTCCGTCTTCTTGACGCTCTTCGACCCCGAGGGCGAGAAGGCTGTGCGGCCTGTCGCAGCCTGCCTCCCATTGCTGCTCTTCCCGCGTCCCTTGACGCTGCCGTTCGGGTACGTCTTCTCAATCCCGTAGTCCACCTCGCTGCTGCTCCGCCCGTGGCCCTTGGGCTGTGACTGTTCCGTGGCGGCAGCAGCAGCAGCGGCGGCGGCGTCCTCCTCCAGACGTCGTCGCTCAGCTTCGCGCGCTTGCCTCTCCAGCTCCGCATCTTTCTCCCGTTGCAACGCCGCAGCGCGCAGCTCGCCCTGCTGCTTCTCCTCTTTCAGCCCCTCTAGTGTCTGCAAGAACACATCCTTCCGCTCGTCGTCGAGGACCTCGCTCAGACTAATGAACTCCTGAGCATACTCCCACTCGTCGTTGCGGGGAAGCACATGCAACGTGAACAGCTCGATAATCCGCACCCGGGCGTTCAGGTCCTTGGGGGTATCGGTGCCGCCATTGGCTCGCTGCAGCGACGTCGTGGAGGAGGAATTGTCCCGTAGATGCTGCTCCGTGATGTTGAGGTCAGGTTGGCCGGACGAGGAGAGATATGTCTCCAGTCGTTGTTGGTTGAGTTGCTGCGAGGGCATGTGGCGGAGGAGGAGGGTGGCGCTATTGATTCGTGCGGTCAGTCAGTAAGCTCCAAGTAGCAAGTAGCAAGCAGGAGGGGAACAGGCAAATGCAACTCACAGATTATATACAACTTCCGCGTCGACCGAGCCCTCATGGCCCTGGTACCCGGTCTGCACGACGGTCTCCCAGATATGGCCCTCGCGGACCTGGGACGACATGGCTTTCCATTCCTTCGGACCAAACACACTCTTGCCTTCTTCGGGGCCGAGTTCGACGATCGCGCTCAGCAGCGTGATGTACAGATTCCATACTTTGATCCGCCACGTGGGTTGGGCGGCGGCGATGGGCGGCGGTCCCGCCGGTGCTGAAGGGCTGGTGTCGCCATTGGGGAATTGCTCATCATTGCCGCTCGGCGTGGTGATGGCAGGTTGCAAGGCGGCGAGCGCTTCTTGCAGCCGTCGCGTGAGAAAGAGGTGAGTTGCTTTTTTGTAGGTCTTGGAGCAGATCTTGGAGGGTGAAAGTGGTGATGTTGTTATTGCGGAAGAGAGGTGTTGCGACTGGGAGGCCGATAGGTCGGCCATTGTAGCTACCGCCGGCGGGAATGCGACGGGTGGGTTGGAGAGTGGGAGATTGGGGGGTCGAGCTGGGGGAATGACTGCTCTAGGAGAATTAATTACAAGCAAGAGTGTTGATGATCAGGTAAATTGTGCTTTGGGGGAGGTTGGGGAAGGACGGAAGGCCGTGACACTAAGACGGGGGGGTACTTCGCATACAGACCGATGGTTTGCTGCTGCTGCTGCTGCTGCTGCTTCCAAATTCACCTCGGCTTCTTTCCACTGACGCTGGCCGAGACAGTCTGGGGTGTTGCTCTGTCACGGGATGAATGCCTCAGGCTGCTAACCCCACCCGCCGATAACGGGAGCCTTCCGCAACAGCTTCATACAATTTCCCAATTTCCCTCAAAAGCATCAACCAGAGGTCGCACTCACACCCATCGTTATCCTGAATCACTGGAAGAAATGCATTGAATACTATTTGTTATTTTAAGTACGACAGAGAGTAGCTCACACAATCCACTGAGGCGTTGTGATCACAAAGATCACCTGCCTACCCCGGATTTCGTCCGATAGTTAACAATAGATCGGTTACTGCTAATAATATTATTGTGGCATGTCACAGGAATTCCAGCTGCACATGTCCATCCTCATCCCTGAAAGAGACTCATTGCATTGCTACTATCAATCAACGGTTTACTGGCCTTATAACTAGAAAGCATGGATATCACCGCCCAGACGTTCCATCTGCAACTACCCAGGCTCCTGGACGAACTATCGACCTGCTGCTTCGTATCCCTGGACTTTGAATTCTCCGGGATAGCAAAATCCGTCAATGGGAGCAGGAGGCGAAAAAGCACCCTGCAGGAGCGCTACGAAGAGGTCAAGGCATCTGCCGACCAATTCCAGATCCTGCAGGTTGGTTTGACCATCTGCCACGAAGATCCAACGACAGGTCAGTTCCTGACTGTTGTGCTATTGCGTTGGAGACACTGACCCGGGACCAAGGCATTTACACTCTACGACCATATAACTTGTACCTTAATCCGGTGATAGACAGCAAACTCGAGGTCGAAAGGAACTGGTCGTTCCAGAGCAGCGGTATGCTTGCCACAAAGCCCGCTGCCTCCGGCTGCTAATCTGCCTCGTTTAGCTGTCGCGTTCCTCTTGGACAACAGATTCAGTATGGAGTCTCTGTTCAATAATGGCGTGACTTATTTGTCCAGAGATGAAGAGAGGAAAGCGGTTGCTAGAGCCATTGAGAGACGTGATCGCCCGGTCACGACTACCACCCTGGGCGTTGACGAGACCGAGCATGAGTCGCTTGCGTTCCTCCAAGAAGTGCGACGGCTTGTGAACGATTGGCTTGCTCTTGGTGATGTACGTGCAAGCTGCTTAACGTTGTCAGGCTCGTCTAATTATTTCGTAGGCTCGCCGCGACTATCTCAATATCCCGCCAGCCAGTCGCCCCGACCCAAGCCAGGAGCCTAGTCCCATGCCGGCGGAAATCAACAGGTTTCAAAAGAGGCTTATCCACCAACTGATCGAGGTTGAGTACCCGGCGCTCAGAACCATCGGCAAGCAAGGATTTGTGCAGATCATCGACTTCGACGAGCAGCGGGAGAAAGCGGTCCACGAGCAGCGAATCCAGTGGGTGCAGGAAAGAGCCTGGAAACAGACGGGCTTCAGATGGATCGCCGAGGCTCTCGCTGGTGGCAACCTCACCAATCTCGCGCCTCACTACTTCATGAACCTCATGGCCAGCTTGCCAGGAAAGCCGCAGCGCAACCTCCAGCAATTCTCGGACCGGATCAAGCAACGAGTGCTAGCCAATCGTCCAGTGCTCGTGGGCCATAATCTGTTCACCGACCTGATATACTTCTGCCGATGCTTCTTCGGGCCTCTGCCGGACCGTGTCGAGGACTTCCAATCAATGGCTCACGAGATGTTCCCGGTCCTGATGGACACCAAGTATATGGCCACCCACGATTGCGGTTCCATTAACCCGAAGTCCTCGTTGCAGGAACTCAACGACAACCTGACCGCTATACCATACCCGAGAATCAGTGAGTGATTCGCCAGATCTCGATATAGACGAGACTGACATGCATGCTTGCTAGCCATCCATCCTCGACATAGCAAATACCATACCCGGGGATTAGACCATGAGGCGGGTTATGACAGTTTACTCACTGCTCAGGTCTTCATCAAGCTCTCTGCACAGCTTCGAGACCGGAGCGCAAATGAGAACCATATACCACCTGCGTCGACCAGACAGACGCAGCATATTGAACAGAATACAGTGACCCTTCCAATCCGCCCCAAACCGACCAATGTCCATATCATGTTCGGCACTATCGAGGTGAAGAAGGTCGTCGAGAGCACAGTTGACACCCACCCCGCGGTACCACCGTGGGCACATCACATGGCGCTGAGACCCGACAAATCTCCAGCGATTCAGCACAGCGTCAATCACGGTGACTTAATCCCCCGCCTTGACGCCAAGTTCTGGAGCGTCTACGGGAACAAGCTGCGCGTCTTTGGTACAGACGAGAGGATGTGCCAGATTGGCTAAGCCACTCAGATCAACTTAGCGTAGCTAGTAGTCCCTCGATGTCCTGGCATAGCAAGTTCATCTCATATGGCGATACAGCGGGGAGAAAGAATATCATTACAGTCTACTAGGCCCTAAGTCTCCCAAAGCTCAGACAATTCACTAAGCAATTGATGGGGAATGTATGCAGCGTCTATCTAACAGTACACCTTGGTTCAAGAAGGTACCGCTAGCGAAAAATGGCCGCAAAGTACTCACTCTGAGCACCGGAAAAATGATCGACTGGTCGTGGAATAGCTAGAACAGTGACGATAAGGAAATGGTGCCGTGAGAGAAAAAAAGAAAGGAAAGAGCCGGCGGCGGGAGAGCGACGGTGGGTTATAAACCCCTGGTCACGTGTACTGCTAGCTTGGGGGATCGGGACTAGTTTTGTTCCGGGCTGGATCTCTCTCTCTCTCTCTCGCCGAAGCAGAGAGCGAAAGGCAGGTGACCGCCGCGCCGTCAACTTTTCTTGCCCAGTATATCGGCCTCCGGGAAGCAGTTCAAGCAGCACCTCCAACATTTCACAACGATGTCTTCCGGGTCCAATGGTGCCCGGCGCATAGCGTCGCTTCTGCGTGAGTACATTTGACTTTTCCAAATCTGTTCCCGTCTGCAATCGAAAGACGGTCTGCTAACCTGTTCTTGTTCCCTTCCACTCAACAGGGCCTTCGTCCTCCGCCTCCGAGTCCAGAGTGTGCAGAAGCTGTCAAGAGACAATTGTCCGCCGTAACTATGCCTCCGCCGCGACGACGCAGGGCACTCCAGAGACGACGACCGCACCTCCCAGCTCCGCCTTCCCAGTCACGAAGCCCACGCACACCATCAAAGCCGGCGTGTTGCTGTCCCGGCCGCCCCAGATCACCCGCGACCTGACCGACTTCGAGAAGGCGTACTTCTTCTACCAGCGCCGCCTGAACGAGCGGCTGACGCTCCCCTTCACCAAATACTTCTACTTCAAGCGCGGCACGCCCGCCGACGAGGACTGGAAGCGCAAGATCCGCGAACGCCAGACCGCCGCCCGCGACATCGGCAAGTACAACGCCTACTCGAAGGAGGCGTGGAACGACGAGCTGCTCGTCGGCGCCCCCGAGTCCGACCCGGCCCACCAGGTCGAGATGCTCATCCAGGACGCTGAGGCCACGGTCAATGCCACCTCGCAGGACACCAGCAAGAAGGAGGAGATTCCCCGGCCGCACCCCCGGTGGACGGAGGCGGACGAGAAGGGCGACCAGAAGAGTCTGAACCGGGCTCTGCAGCGGACGCTGTACCTGCTCGTGCAGTCCAAGGAGGGGTACTGGAAACTCCCCAGCTCCGCGGTTGAAACGGAGGAGACTCTGAAGCAGGTGTGTTTCTCTTTTTTTCCTTGTTGGGTAGCACCCTCGCGCGACAGTTGCTAACCTTGTTTCTGTGCAGGCGGCTGAACGTACCCTCGCCCAGGCGGCGGGTGTCAACATGAACACCTGGTTTGTGGGTTATCACCCCGTCGGCCACTACGTCTACAACTTCCGCAAACCCGCCTCGGAGCTGCTGGGCGAGAAGACCTTCTTCATGAAGGCGCGCATTATGACCGGCCAGGCGGATCTGACGGGCAATGCTGACAACCTGACTGATTTCAAGTGGTTGGCCAAGGAGGAGATCTCGAAGTATGTTCGGCCAGGGTACTACTCCAGCATCAAGAACATGCTGGCCGAGCGGTAGACCTTCGGGAAGTGTACTGTTAGGATAGACCGATTGTTGTGGGCGGGAGTGATGCAGCCATAGAACCGGGATTGTTTCTGCATATATCATCTTGTACGTCTCGTGTGTGTCATGTATAACTAGCTTTTATTGCTCGAATTTCTGCTTCTATTCTGTACTCTTGTTTGACTACATGTGTGTGCAAGAACGGTTGTATCTTGTCTCCTTCCTTGATTGGTACGCCCCAACGCCACGCCAGTGAATGATTCGCCCATATGTGCCGGGCCTAAATCGAAAAAAAAAACTCCATAGCAAACAGAACTGCCCTCCTCCCAACCGAAACAGAACCGACCATAAATTGAGTCCCAATGAAGTTAACTACTTCAAATTGAACTTCTGCCCCTGCACAACCGGTTGCCCCTTAGCCACCCCCTTGGCCAAACTCTTGCCACACATTGGGCACGCTAATAAACGGAGTGTTAGCAAAATGCACCCACCGTAACCATGACTGACTGCCGGCACGGCACCAGAGAAAACACCAAACACCCACGAACCTCAACCACAAACGCAAGAAAGGGAGGACATACAATTCTTCTGATAAGCGCACCGCTGACAATACTTCCGCCCCTGCTCCGTCTTGGTCTTGCACACCTCGCACGAGGACGAGTACGCCGCGTAGGGATTCTTGGCTTTGGAAGTGAGGAGTTTGCTCTACGGTAAGTTAGCTTAGCACCATTCCTATACCTAACGAGAAACTCCTTCGTCCATGATATATATCATGCCCCATGTAGTGTCAAATTTAAACTTTCCATGCTGGGTGTGTGATCTGGGATAGTTTTGGGGGGGGGGGGGTAAAGGTAAGATGGTAGTAGGACATACCTTCCCAACCCCTGTATTCCCAAGCGTAGCTTTAGATTTGTCGTTACTGCTGCTGCTGCTGCCGCCACCGCCGAGGGAGGTCGAGGGTGACCCATAGTACATCTCGCTTTTGCGTTTGACGCCTGGTGTGGCTAGTTCGGTTTGTTTGAGCTTTTTTTGGCATTTGGCGCAGACCATGTTTTCTGCAGTAGAGGGTTTTAGTGGGAGCTGGGGAGGTGGGTGGGTGGTTATTTGATGATGAGTGCTGAGGTTGTAGTGTAGTTGATGGGATACTAGTTGGTACACAGTACTTTGGATGAATAATGATGATGGATGATGTTGATGATGATAGATATGGATGGATGGTTGTTTGGTGGAGAGTGTGGCGCGGCGGGGATGATGTGGTGCTGTGGCGGTGTGGCGCTTTTTTCCAAGTGTGCCTACACAATATGTCACGGTATCTTTGTTGGTTTGTTTAGTTCTGAGGTGATTGGATTTTAGTCTTAGGATTAGAGGTCTTGGAAATCAGAGTAAGGAATTATCGCTTTGATGATGCTATCTATAATCAGCTTGAGGACTTTCTCAGGTTTGGGTTCCGTGCAAGGTGTGATTGCATATAATTTCTATACATGCGATTGTATATACGAGCAATGGCAAGGCCTGACACTCGAAGATCTGACATATTCGAACCGATCACTACTAGTAGTGAATCAAACGAGAGAAAAAAAAAAAAAAAAAAAAAAAAAGAAAAAGAAAAAGAAAAGGAAATGAGAATAAACAAATAAAGGCCATCCAGTCACTTCTGACAAATGCCACCAAGTGCCTACTCGTGTGAAAGTCATATTGTCATCTTCCTTGATCTGCATCCAGGCCAAACCACTCGAATAAATCATCACCCTCTCGTATGCCACTGCCTCGACGCCTGCAGTTGCTCAGGCTAATAGGAACAAGATCTACACCACCGCAAAAATTCTTGAACACGAGGCACCTCCGTCGCAGCATTACCTCCGTCCTACCTGGCAGCTTATAGTACATGTGCAGGAACGGTGCTGTGGCAACTGGTGAGATTAAATAACTGGTTTCGCCCACTGCGGCACTCAGCTCTCTCTCATCCACCCACCTTCGAGCCCACCAATGTCGAAACCCGCAGCTTAATACCATCTCTGTCAGAAAGCTGGACTTTCAGCTGTTCTGCACTCCCGGCGTCCACTGGTTCACTGTTCAATGATTTGCCTTCTGACAGGGCTTTCTGGTGGCTCTTCTCTCGGTTCCAAATGGCTGCAGGATGACCGCCACTCGTGAACAGGCAGACCCAGATCAGACCGCAGCGTCGATGCTTCCAGACGGCGCAACGAACAACAAGAAGCCAGGATGTAATCGCTTCGAAGTCGCACGTACGCATGCACGCACGTCTTCTTGAAAAAACTAACTAGGTAAAGCGCTTCAGCACTAACTCCCTGGCGCCCTTAGCTCCACGAGCGTCAGTCCCAGCAGGATGGTTCGCTCATGTTGGATCCTTGGGCTGTCCAATCCTTCTGCCACGCCTTCATCGAATCAGACCGGACTAGCACGACTTGTCTCTGCGCATGACAATATAAAGCACTTCCCCCTGGTGGTCCGAACGTTTAGGGCTGGGCGTTCGCATCTCTGGGAAGCTTCCTGCCGAAATTCTCGCTCATCCTCGGAGGACTCCATCCGTTGACAGCGAGACACTGGGCTCTCGTGAATAACGAATATCTCAAGTCGCGGACGGCCTGCTTCTACTAGAAAGCTATAATACTGCGTCGAAGCAACAGCTCGATAAAGCCGTTCTCGAGAGTTGGGTCTGCTTTTCGGGTTGACTGCTCGGACCAGGCTTGGATCTACTAGCTTGTCAACTACCGATACTTCCCCCTTACTAGCTCTTGTTCAGCAAGATCAAACGACACGTCTAGGTCGAACAGCGCGGACCATCGGGAGGGTGTGAATGTGAATCCCTTGCTTCGAGGAGGCGAGCGAAACGGGACCTCGACCGCACAGTGGCCACCCACTCACCGCACTTGATCCTCTTCCATTCTCTTTCCAGTTTCCTCTCGTCTTGACGGAATTGATTTCCTCTGTCTCACGAGTCACAACTGTCTTGTGCTTAAGGTTTGAACCTTAAAGTGTGGTGGTCGATCCAGGTTGCTTGTCGTCAGCCTGTCACGAACGATACGCCGAACTCAGCTGGTGATCGACTATAGCGTGACGCACTCGCAGCGGGCAGACACAATGCCTCCCAGTGGTTCGTCGTTTACGGCATTGAACCTGCCATCAGGATTCATCCTCCCCCGATGCATGGAGTACTTCACTGTGACTGCGGGGCCCAACACGGATCTCTGGCGCAAGCCGGGGGGCCCAGACACCGCCACCGCGCCCATTGTCTTCACCTCCCTGCGGCGCCGGTTTGAGATGGCCGAGGTGACAGTGACGGCAGACTGGGAGATGGAATGGGACCAAGGCGGACTGGTGATCTTCGCGGGGGCGGCGCCGCAGTCATCAGAGGACGTATCTCCGATTCATCATGTACCGCCGCTATCATCATCATCACCACCACCACCACCACCACTCGGAGTATCTCCTGCCGCAACTCGCCTCGGGACAGCCCCGCGGCCCAGACCTCGACCCGGGAAATGGGTCAAAGCCGGCATGGAATTCTGTTCCGGCACGATGAATATCTCGAGCGTCAGCGCCACGGCCGACGGGGCGGACTGGTGCGCCTCGCCACTGGAGCACGGCCGGCCGGCCATGGTGCACTCGCTGCGCATCAAGCTGGAGCGCGTCGGCCACGCCCTGTGGATCTGGTACCAGGTGCCCGCCGTGATGACTCCCGGTGCGGTGCTGGATGGGGTGTGGCGCAAGTTGCGCGAGGTCACCTGGTTTTTCTACGGGGTGGAGGATAAGTTCGTGCACGTGGGGGTGTACGCCAGTCGTCCGAACCGACTGTCGCGCAGCGCGACGATGTGGGAGACGATGAACGGGGATGGGATGGAGGGGATGGGAGTGGCTGATGGGTTGGTAGTGGAGTTTGAGGATTTGGAGATTTCTTAGTTTTGCTTTGCTGGTTTGCCCTATGGCGATGAGGTCCATTGCTGTTGCAGGTGTCATCTCATGAGTTGATAATTGCTGAGTCCTTCTGTATTGTTTGGTTATGGACTGTCTGGACATGATGGAACAGCTTGATGTCTAATTTCGCGATCTTTGGTCGAGTTTAAAGGTGTTTTTCGTTGATGTCTTTGGGGTCTGGCATTGAATGACTACTCAATTGTCTAATTTCGACTTCTATTTCTCCCCAAACTGCATCTCGAGTATCTCTACGTAGGAAGTAGACTCATATCATCGTCATCAACAATTGCCCAAATGGAGTCAGTCCCCTGTTGTTTGAGGGGCCGGGCAGGGCCGGGCAGGCAAGGGCAACCCCCCCCCCCCTCCTCTTTCCGTGTTCCGCTCTCTCCACCATTCTAGAGCTGAGTGTTGGGAAAAGGGATGATTTCAGGAGGATACCGTCTGGAGGATACCGCCAGGAGGAGGCATCAGGAGAAAGGGTAGGACTTATAAAAAGAACAAACCCGCTTTGGTGGTCGGTGATCGGTTTGGGATTCCAATATTATATCGGCAATAGCAATAGGGGGAGGGGCAGGAATGGATTTCCGGAGTCCAGTACAGGTTAAGTTGACTCCGCATTGCGAGAATAATTTCGTACTGTAAAAGGGATGAAGGTAGAGGATGAGCCGACGAGGGGGAGCATTTACTTATTTTAGGGTGTGTTCATGAGGTGGGAAAGTAACCCATAACTACCTCAACCCAAGACTGTATGTACGTAGTTATAACTGTACAGCACTGGATCACTCACTAGAGGAACCTGGAAAGTACAGTAAGCCGCAGCCAACGCAGCACGTCGCTCGCACGCACAGCAAACGGTGGGACTGAAGTTCTCGGAGGCTGCATTGGCTGCAGAAGGACAGGCAGGGCGATCCTGCGGGCGGAGATCTCTTGGTGTGCATATCATCGCGATGATGCATTCAGTGATCTTTTGTCTTGCACACCCTGAGTTACTTTCATAACTACTGGTAGAATGCATTGTCTTTCCTGAATGGTTCAAGCAGAATTTGTATGATGCTGTTTTGCTTTGTTAGTTGTTATTTTGATTTTTCTTTTGTTTTTCTTTCTGGTCCCTGCTGCAACAGCCAGCGCCCGGTGGAGTCTCCCAGAAAAAGTTGAAAAAAAATTGATGGCGCCACTATTGGAGCGATACCGACGCCACTAGTCCCAGTCGACCAGAGGAGGCTGTCAACGACCAACCTCTCGGCAGGATCATCATAATGGGTTGATTTGGGAGGGAGGGAGGGAGGGGTCAATTGCACGTCACAGTAGTACGAGGGCAGCAATTGAAATTCCCCAGAGTGAGCTCTTATACTGATGTTGTACAAGCACACTGTTCAGTGCAGCTCTTCCCCTCCCCAGCATCTGAAGGTCACGTAAATCTACAACTTGTACTCGTAGTAGACAAGAATTCTTATCGGCCACGGCATTGCTTACCTCAGCCAGTGCAACGGCTTCTTGAAAAGTGGATGCGAATTGTTCGCAGCTGATTGGCGGGCATTACTCACCGCATTTTCTTTTCTGCTTCAAAACATCCCGATCTGCACCGCACCGCATCGCATTGCAGCATCACTACCACCCATCCAAACGATTGTTCTTCTTGCAGTTGGCCCACCCAATTGGGGGTGCCCCGAGCCATTGCGCCCGCGGGTGAGCCATCCGAGAAGGAAGGGGGGACTTTGAGGGTGCGGATTGGATGCTAACATGAATGATAATACCTAACATTGTGGGTGTGGTGTGCCGTGCAGTGGTGTAGGATAGTAGTAGATACGGTACGGACTACTCTTGGGCCTCCCTCCTTCCACCCCCTCCCCTCCTTTGCTCATCTACTCGCATGGTGTTTTGCAGTGGCATAAGCAGGTAATCCAGATTCCAGGAAAAATGACCAGCACCAGGAGTACTGGGTAAAGTGTCATCATCCTCAAATCACTATGCCAACTCCCATGCTGCCCCGCCAACTACCAGTTGTAGGGACCGACTAGTTCTCCATCGGTCTTCCGTGCGGACCCAGTTTGACTCTACCTACCCATTTTTTTTTTTTTTTTTTTTTTTTTTTTTTTTTTTTTTTCTCTTCTGCCCTTCGAGTCAAGAGAGTAAACCACCACAAACCTTTCTGGGCTTGACAGTCAGACAGTCAGACAAACAGATAGAAAGACAGACAGACAGAAGACAGACAGAACAGACTAGTCCCAAAGTTGCTCACGGGGTCATCTTTGATAATTATTTCCGACCCTTCCCCTCTTTCCCTCTTCTGCTGCTGTCTCCCTCTGTGTTTATTTTATACCTTACTGAACTTTTTTTACTGCTATCTCCAACTCACTACTACTTTCCCAATTGTACCACCTTCCTCTCTCCCCCCTCCCCTCCACCTCCCCCTCTTCTTCTCTTCAACCTCCCACCACTCTATCTTTCCCCTCTTCCTCTTCCTCTTTATTCCCTTTCCAAGACACTCTTCCTCACACGCATACACACCTCTTCCTCCTTACCTCTTCCCCTCGTGCGTGGGTGGCCTATTTTTTCTTCCTCCCCTCCGTCCGGTCCGAAACATCTCCGCATCCCGCCGGACTCGCCATTGTATATTATCGCCCTCTCGAGTTTTTTCGTTTTTTTTTTTTTTAATCAGATTCCCTTTGCGCGTGTTTGCGAATAGCTGGCAATTCTAACGACTGTAACGAATCTCCTGCTCCCACCTTCGACGATTCACAATGGCTTCCCCCGCTGGTGAGACTGTGACTATCTCCATCCGACGTCCTATCGACGACCCTATCTACCTGGCAGGCACCTTCTCCGATCCTCAATGGGAACCTATCGAGCTGAACTCCAAACCCGTCGACACTGAGCCCGATGAGGATGGACTGATCTCCACCGAATATCTATTCTGGCACGACCTGACCTTGCCGCCCGGCCAACATCAATACAGATTCCGTGAGGGGAAAAAAGGCCCGTGGTTTCATGATGAAGCTGCGAAGCATGGTATGCATTTCCGCACCCGGTTGTGATTGACCTCTGCGCCGTAGCTCAGGGTTGCGAGCTTCAGGTTTGGTGATTCGCTAGGAGCAGAACTAATCATCAGTGATCTATAGTTCCGGGTGAAGGCGGTCTGGTCAACGTGCTTACTGTCGCGGAGGAGGGTACTGTTGAGAAAACGGAAGAGCCCGTGACGGAGGAAACGACCCCCAAAGAGAACGGCGTCAATGGAGTCGCAGAGCACGACACTCCCGTCCCAGAGTCCACGTCCGAGGAGCACAAGCCGGAGCCTGTCACAAACGGCACCACCGCCACTACTGAGGTCAACGGCACCGAGCATGTGGAGGAACGCTCGGAGGAGAAGCTTGCGGACAATGCGAACACTCACGAAGCCTCGGAAGAGAAGCCCGCCGAAGCTGAGCCAACCGTAGAGGAACCTTCTGCAGCCACCGAGACCCAAGAAGCTCCAGTCATCTCTGAAACCATCGATACCGCCACGGAGCCCGAAAAGGACCACAGCAAGGGCGAGGAGCCTGCTACTGCTGTCGACAGCGTCTCCACCCCTGAGGCTGACAAGGCAGCCCAAGAGCCTCAGACGGAACAGGTGGTCGATGAGTCTTTGTCCAAGGCTGAGGAGCCTGCTGACAGTGTTGCCGTGGAATCAGTCGCAGCTGAGACACCCGTAGTAGAAGCTCCATCGGAAAAGCTTCTTGAGGCCGAGCCTCTTGCGACTGAGACTTCCGGTGAAGAGTCAGCCGCGCAGGAGCCCGTCGAGGAGCTGCCAGTCAAGGAACCGGAGGCAGAGTCTGCTGCTCCCGTTGAGACTACTCCCGAGCCGAGCAACGAAGAAATCAAGGAGGAGCTGCCTGAAGAGAGCAAGGCGGAACAAGGTATCGAAGCTGCTGCGGAGCGTGCTGAGGAGTCTAATGCTCCTGAGACCTCCGAAAAGTCCGAGGAGACTCCTGCCCCTGAGACTTCGACTCAGGACTCTTTGGAGGAGGAGCTTGTCAGCGCGGAAACCACTACGGAGGAGCAGATCGAGAAGGAGCCTGTCAGTGAGGAGCCTCTTAAGGAAGAGCCTCTCAAGGAAGAGCCCGCTAAAAAGGATATTGTCACTGAGCCTAGCACTGAGAAGGCTGAGGAAGAGCATGCAGACGCTGCTCCTGCTCAAGAATCGACCGAAACCCCTGCCCCCGAGGCAGCCGAAGTCAGTCAAGCTGTGGAGGAGCCTACCGAAGTCCAGGTTGCCGAGACCTCTGCCATTGAACCCCTTGCTGAGGTAGCTGCCGCTGAGGCGACTGAGAAGGAAGAAGCTGCCGTGGAACCAGTCACTGAGAAGTCCGATGAGCCTGCTGCAGAGGTTGCACCGGTGGAAGCCGTGGCTGAAGCCACTACCACTGACGACTCAAAGGCCGAAGAACCTGTCTCTGAGGAGAAGCCTGTGGAGGAAACTACCGAAACCCCGGCTGAGGTTGCCACCGCCGAGTCTACCGAACCCGTCCACGAATCCGCCGCGGAGGAGCTCATTATTGAAGCTCCACATGCCGAAGCTGTGGAGGAACCTAAGGAGCCTGAGGTCGAGGAGACAGCGACGGAGGTGAACGCCGTGGGAGAGCCCATGGAGCCACCTGTTGCCCCCGCCGCAGTAGAAGCCGCCGCAGAGGAACCTATTGTGGAAGGCACAAGTACCGAAGCCACTACCCAGGACGAACCTTCCCACCAAGAGACTGCCGTTGAAGAGCCGGCTGAGGAGACTCCTGCTGAAGTCGCTACCATCGAAGCTTCCGCTCCCGAGACCGTTGAGGAGCCTGCTGAAATTGAGGCTG